AAGAAGACAATCCTACCCCAGGCCTAGTTTCCTTGGGACCGAATATTTTTCAGATATGCTGCTTCAGAACATGGAGGCTTTGCTTACCCTATGGTAGCACGTGCCTACTCACACGGCCATCTTCCATTCAGTTTTCCTCTTCTTTCCCAAAACGTCTGAACCCATCCCAGCTGGGAGAAAACTCCAAAAGTGGGATTCTGCCTGACATAAACCAAACTCCTTTGTTTCGACATTTCTCGGTCCTCGGCTTATGACTATAAATGGAGGGAGGGCAGGACCCCCAATCACTAAGCAAAGGGGGTTGAGTGGTGCCTGATTTTAGGACCTTTTCGCTGAGGTTGGTAAGCGAATCACCAAACAGGGGTTGGAATTCAGCCGGTTCGCACCAGTTCAGGGCAAAGCGGTTGTTAACTTTCTGAGCAAACTGGTTGTTGGAATGAATCCTTAAGGGCAGGGAACCGCTTGTTAAATTATTTGAATCCCACCCCTGGTTGTAAGTCAAGGAACACCTGTATGAAAACGAGCAATCGTGGTTGAAAGACGGCAAGCCGCGACGCTGAAGAAATCCACAAAATACTTTCTCGATCACGTGCTTCATTTCTTAAACCTCAAAGGCCCCTCTCCCCTCTTTTAGCCTGCATATTAAAAGCCCCAATCGCTTCCCTCTTTCATTTTGGCACAGTTGTTGTATAAGCCGATTGTAATTAAAATCAACACCATCGGCCTCTTGATTGCATGCTAACTCGTCTCTTATGGCTTGGAAAGTTGGACTGCACAGCATAAGGTTGCTTTGCAACCAGGTAATTATACTTGTTTTAAAAAATGAAACCCCTCCTAGGTTTCCTGGGGTTCAGACAATAAATGGGAAAAAGTGTGTGTGTGTGTGTGGCGGGGCGGGAACACACCACCAAAGTTAATTTGGGCCACTTATTTCCTCTTAGCTTCTCTCCATCCCAGGGAATTAAGGGTCTGTTGAGCAAAAATAAAACCAGATGAAACAGAAGGCTAGCAAGCAAGCAAGAAAAAAATTCCTAAAATAAAATAATTAAAAGCACTTGAAGGCCAGTCGAGGAGTAATGGGTGGAAACTGAACAAGGAGAGATTCAACCTGGAAATATAAGGAGGAATTTTCTGACAGTGAAAGCAATCAATCCATGGAACAGAAGTTGGCTTCGGAAGTTGTGGGAGCTTCATCCCTGGAGGTTTCCAAGAAGAGATTGGACTCCCATCTGTCAGAAATGGTGTAGGGTCTCCTGCTTGGGCAGAGGGTTGGACTAGATGACCTACAAGGCCCTTTCCAACTCTGTTATTCCATATTCAGTGGAATGACTTGCCCTCAGAAGTTGTGGGAGCTTCATCACTGGAGGCTTCCAAGAAGAGATTGGACTCCCATCTGTCAGAAATGATGTAAGGTCTCCTGCTTGGGCAGAGGGTTGGACTAGATGACCTACAAGGTCCCTTCCAACTCTGCTAATCTGTTAATGTTGATGCTTGTCTAAAGAGATGGGCCAGGAATGAATCTTTCTTTGATTTTACAATGCAAATATCCACCCTGGATGAACAAAACCTGCCTTACATAGAGGTAGTCCTGGACTTATGACCCCCATTGAGGTCAGCGCTTCCATTGTTTAAGCACGACAGTGAAGTGAATCTCTCCGAATGCAATGACCATTTTTTGTCACAGTTGTTAAGCAAGTCATGTCCTTGTTAAGCAAATCCGGCAGGAAGGGCTGAATTTTCGAACTTCTTAAGGAACCAAATATATTGGACAAGTGGAAGGAAGGAAGATTCACAGGGTTTTATTGGATGTGGGGGGTTTCAGCTCCCAGAATTCCCCAGCCAGCATGCTGAGGAATTTTCAGGTGTGTGGACTTCAACTCCCAGAGTTCCCCTGATGAATATGGGGCATTTCACCTCCCAGGGATTCTGGGATTTGAAGTCCACCCATCTCAAAGTTGCCAAGATGGAGAAACATTGCTCTACACACAAGCATTGCATAAAACAGTTGGACCCCACAATTGTCCTCATCCCTCTGGTTTATCCCTCTGGCTGTGCTTCTCCTCCTCCTCCCCACAAGGCCCTTCTCCTTGTCCCCCTTCACCCATTTTTTACTAGAGGAAGGCAGAGAAGATTCCGCTGTACCGGATTAAATTCTCCACCGGGATGAAGGAATTTGTTCTGATGGGAGAACCCAATCCAAGTCCCTTTTCCCTGCTCCTTGGGAGTATCCCTCCCTCTCACAGCCCAGCCCACCTTGCAGGGTTGTTAGGAAGATCGAGTTCACCTCCCAGCCTCACTCAGCCACGCACACCCCAAAGTTACAGGTGGAATAAATCCCACCGGATCGAGTCCTATTAAATCTCTCCCCTGGCCATCACTTGAAATCTTGAAGAGACTGGACTGCCATCTGTCAGAAATGGGGTAGGGTCTTACAAGGTCCCTTCCAACTCTGATTATCTGTTATCTGGCCCAAACTCAAGAATCCAACGGCCCCTTTCCCAGCTAATAACTTGAATGAAAAGGGGCTACGCTTTGGACGAGCTTTGAATAAGAAAAAGGGTCCCCTAATTCCTGATTCAACCCCCCACCCTCCTTGGTTCTCCCAGACAGGGTTCAAACTATACCGGGCAAGAAAGTTACAAAGGCATCGAAGTACCAGAGCCCAACACGCCCCGTTTCCCACACCCGACAGCTTCACTCCGGATTCACCCACAAAAAGGTGGTTGAACGGTAGAAATTTTGTTTCAAAGACGAGCCATTTGTTGTGTGAAACGGCGTTAAGAGCTTGGGGGTTGGACTGGAAGACCTCTAAGGTCCTTTCCAACTCTGTTATTCCCCCAAAGCCGTCCAAACGGGTCTGGCCACCTGGTAACCCTGGGCAATTGGGGAGGTGGAGGTGGGATACCTGAAGTCGCTGTAAGGGTGGATGATCCAGAAGCCGGCCGACTTGACCCTCTCTTGTTCTCTCTCCACCGCCTTCTGGCTGCCGAACATCCGCAGGGAGAATTTGTTCACGCCGGGCTGCAGCAGAGCCCCAAACTGACGTTGCATGAAGCCGGCTTGGCCGAACTGGAGCTCGTCGTCCGGGCTGATCTGGTCCCCCGACGCCCCCCCGGCGCCTTCCACCTTCACGAAGGCCGCGTCGGGCGGCGGGTCCTGGCGGGGAGCGCCCACCGGGGTGGAGGAAGACGAAGAGGAGGCGGCGGCGGCGGCGTGGGGGGCTTCCGCCAGGCCCGGGGGGCTCCGCTCGTCGTCCGGGGAGGCGGCTTGGCCTTCGTGGCCGATCAGGCGGCGACCCTCGGCCGAGTCGTGCGGGTGGCGGCCGGCAAGAGACGAGCGGCTGCCCTTCAGACGCCGACAGTCGCCGTTGGTGCTGCTCTTGGCGCTCGGCCGGCCAAGCCCGCCGCCCGCCGCCGCCGCCGCCGCCGCCTCTGCGCCCTCCGCAGGGCCGGCTTCCGAGGCTCGGGAGGCCGGGCCGGGCCTCGACGGGTCCACCGGACCTCCTGCGGCCGTCGGCCCGGGGACAGCGGCGGAGGAGGGCGAGAGCGGGTGCAAGCGGATGCTTTTGCGCCGCGCATCCTTGCAACCGCCGCCACCGCCACCTCCTCCTCCTCCTCCTCCTCCGTCCTCCTCCTCCTCGTCCATCAGCGAAGCTTTGGGCGCGATCTGCTGCGGGAGGCTGTAGAGCCGCTTGCGCATCGACGGCGGCAAGCGATCCATGGCCCGTTCCCGACGAGCGGGCCGTGGGAAGGGAGGCGAGCTCCAGGCAGCTGGAGGGCGGCGGGGACGCCCCCGGCTCTGCCCTCCTCTTTCTCCTTCTCCCCGCCGGGTCCGGCCGGCTCCAGGCTCAGGGGGCGGCAGCCAGCTGCCCGGACGCCGCGCTGGTCATCCTCTCCTTGCCGGCTGGGCTTGGCTGCTTGGAAGCTGGGGGAGGGCAGGGGGGTCTCCCCGCCGGACACGAAGGTCGAGGAGCAGGGCCGGCCGGCCGCGGAAAGAGCGGAGAGCCCTCCAGGGAAGCCGCCCCCTTTCCTCTCTCCCTTCCCAGGTCCCAGGAAGGGGGGAGGCGTCCCCCCCCCCGCTCTCCCCCCTCCCGGGCTAGCAGCGGGGAGGCTGAGCCGCCGCCTTGACGGGCCCACCGAGCCGCTTCAGGAGGCGAGCGAGCCGGGGGCGCCGCCGGGACATCTCGGCCGGGAGGTTCCCCGAGGACCAGCCCGGAGCCGCGTCTGCTTCTTCCCGAAAGGCGACATCGTCACAAGGAGGAGGAGGAGGAGGAGGAAGAGGAAGGCGGGAGGGCGGCGGTTGCGGGGCGCAACAACCGCACCACGCGGAGGCTCGGAGCCGAAGCGGCGGCGGCGGCGGCGTCAGGGCGCAGCGGGGCCGCTGATCACCAGGACTTGCGCGCCCCGGTTGGGGTTACATCACTGCTGCTGTTGGCTCCCATCTCTCCGGGTTCAGGCAGCAACTCCGAAGCCTGGGAATATTCGGGAAGGCGGAGGATCCGATTGGGTGGCCACTGGAGTCCCCGCGTCCAATCGGCTGGGTCTACCTGAGCCGGCGCCCGGCTTCTTAAAGGGGCGACACCTTGGGAGAGGGCCCTGTTGGAGGAAGGGAAGGAGGGAGGGAGGGAAGGAGGAAGGAAGGAAGGAAGGAAGGAAGGAAGGGGGAGAAAGAGGGAGAGGGAGAGAGATGTGGAAAGAGAGAATGAAAGAGAATGAGAGAGAGAAAGAATGAGAGAATGAGAGGGAGCGAGAGAAAGGAAGGAAGGAAAAAGGAAAAAGAAGGAGAGAAGGAGAGATGTGGAGAGAGAGAGAGAGAGAGAGAGAAAGAAAGAATGAAAGATTTACAGATGTACAGAGTTGAAAGGGACCTTGTAGGTCATCTAGTCCAACCCCCTTCCCAAGCAGGAGACCCTACACCATTTCTGAGAACAGCTGCTGTTCTCAGCTTGTGTCTCTTTTAAACTCTCTTCCCAGCTGCGGCTAATGAAGGGAATCAGGACCCTTTCCTCCCCCGTAAGCCAGACAACCCACATTGCTCCCTTCTCCTGTTCCTCCCTGCATGCCCTAGGATGAAAAAGGGGCGGGCCTGGGTCTTCCTCTGAACTCCCTCTCCCTTGTTCTACCTCTTCCCTGCTCTGCCCAGCTTCCTCCACGGCCAACGGAGCCACACTCCCACTCCCTGTCAGCTGTTTGGCTTCCTCCGAAATAGCGAAGGACCGGCCCACAATGCTTCTGCCAGGGAAAACGGAGCTCCGTTTTGGCTGGCAGAAGCACCATCCTTTGCTATATCAAGGGCGGCCCCACGGGCCAGATCTAAGTACCCCATGGGCCAGATCCAGACACCCCCCCCCCGGGCCTTGAGTTTGACACACCTGCACTAAGAAAACACCTGGAATTGCAGGCGGCTTCCAATATGTTTTTTTTAAAAAAATACACTCAAGTGTGAGCAAACTGGCTTGCGGGCAGTGCTTGGCTTACAGCCACCTGTTTTGTGTCCGAAGTTATAACGGTGACGACAAAAATGACTAACAACCAATCGTGGCACTTACAGTTGTAAGCTGCAATGGTGTGCCCGTGGCTTGGCACTCCGGTGTGTAGGGTTGCGGCAATCCGGGGATCGTGGGATCACCGTTGGTGATTTCTCAGCTGGCTTCGGACAAGCAAACTCCATGGGGGGAAGTTAAGATTTGCTTAATGACTGTGTGATTCACTTAACAATTGCCTTGCTTAGCAATGGAACAAATAACAGATAATGGGAGTTGGACGGGACCTTGGAGGTCATCTAGCGCAACCCCCACCCACCCAAGCAGGAGACCCTACACCATTTCTGAGAGATGGCAGTCCAATCTCTTCTTGAAAGGCTCCAGGGATGAAGCTCCCACAACTTTTGAAGGCAAAGCTGTTCCATTTGAATATAGAATGCCAGAGTTGGAAGGGACCTTGTAGGTCATCTAGTCCAACCCGCCGCCCAAGCAGGAAACCCTACACCATTTCTGACAGATGGCAGTCCAATCTCTTCTTGAAAGCCTCCAGGGATGAAGCTCCCACAACTTTTGTTCCATGGGTTGATTGTTCTGTCAGAAAGTTTCTCCTTGTTTCCAGGTTGAATCTCTCCTTGTTCCGTTTCCATCCATTATTCCTTGTCTGACCTTCAGGTGCCTTGGAGAACAGCTTGACCCCCTCCTCCTCTCTGTGGCAGCCCCTCAAATATTTTGAGCCACTCCAAGCTTTGAAAGAGGTAAAATTTTGGACCCATTTCTCCACATGTCTCTCTGGCTCGGGATGCATCATATTTTGCCCCAAATATAGGGCAATTAGTAAAAAAAAGGATAGTGGCCTTTTGGGACATCTCTATTGTAGGTGATTTACAATCTTCCTTTTCCTGATGTTCCAACTGGTGAAAGAAAGCCAACTTGAACAGGATCCCGACAAATGTAAGTGATTGCTATATAATCTATATAATCTTACATAATTTATTTGCTATTACTTTAGTACCTGGCATTCGATCCACCTGATAACCTTCCTTCTGAACAAAATCTGGGACCTAGAGGCAATTACCCTCTGAACAACAAGACAGCAATTATATATAAAGTGTCGGAGAGGCTATTTAGCAGCCTTTCGTGCCCTCTGCGGCGAACGGTTAGAGAAGAGAAGCCAGGACAGCGATTCCAATGGAAAAAGTAGGAGATTAAAATGCATATATTTCAAAGTCATTTACCTCCCGGTGTCCAGATAAGAAAAAAACAAAAACAAATCGAGCATTTGGCCAAATCATGAATCTACTCTTTGGTGATAACGCTGATGATGCTACCTGGTTGGGTAATGAAATGTCTCCAAGAAAACCCTCCTCCTCCTCTTCCTCCTCCTTCCTCCTCCTCTTCCTCCTCCTCTTCCTCTTCCTCCTCCCATAAGCTCAGAAAGAACCAAACACTTCGCTTATCAAATTGATGTTCAGGACCATGGAGAGCTCAGTATAAGGTTGAGTTGCCAGACCACAAAGGAAGACTTTTGAGTTGTTGCTTCCATTCTAGACTGGAGGCTGTCCAAGAAGAGTCAGTAGGTGGTGTGTGTGTGTGTGTGTGTGTGTGTGTGTGATTTCCATGCGGAGATGAAGAGGGATGGTGGCTATTTATTTATTTATTAAACAGATTTTTGCAGCTTCTCAGTTTCTCACCGGATCTGTTTGGCCAGAAGGAGTTTTCTTTTTATTTCTATTTATGAAATGGACTCACTCCCACAGTTGGGTTCAACTCTAGGCGGTTTCACAAGTCTAAAAACACACTGATGACACAAGGAAAGTATAGCACAATAAAAACAAGCCAACAGAACGAAAGTTGGGATTGATGGCTCCGCCATCAGTCGCTAAAGCTATCTCTCCAGAAGAGCTGAATAGAGTTGATCTTTTAACACATCCATTCATAAGAGCCACGGAAGATTATACTGACCACATTCGTCAGGTGATTATCTTGTGTGATGTGCTTGGGCCATACTTTGCTAAAGTCACTCTCATTAAGAGACAGTTGGCGAGGGTGGGCAAATTCAGGAAGAGATGACAGAAAAATAGCATGGAAATTCTTATTGCGTTGACTCTCTCCTTATAACCCATTTTACAAGAAAATAACATGAACATCAACAGAATGACCATTCTGAGGGGCTGGGAAGCAAATGAGATTCAAAAACCTGATTTTCCTCTGTAGTCTAAAAAAAGAACAGGAGCTCCGTCCATCTGGCAATCTCAAAACAGTTCTGAGCATCTGAGAAATGTTGTGCAAAAATGGTATTTCTTCCCTTCCCAATTTTTTATTTTATTTTAGTTTACACGTCCCTCGATGTTTCCGACGGTGGTTGGGTGAAAGATATCTTGTATCTGAACTCTTTGAGAAGGAGCTAAGAGCATCACAATCTTCGTAAAAACGAAACCTCCTTTGATTTCTTCTATTTTAATTTGGAAATTCTGGCTTCCAAACAGGGTGAAGATCCAAACTGCAGGAGATCAAAACCCATCGTGTATTCCTGGGGTTGAATGATCAGGGATTTTGCCCTGCTCCTAAGAAAAATATTTAGGGTCCCATTTAAAAGGTGAAAAAGAAAATAAGATTATTAACCAGGACATGAATCTAGGGTGCGAGTTCTAGATCTGCCTGAGGTAGAAAGTCCATTGGATGACTAAGGAAATGAGGTTCTATGTACATTGCAGATATTAGCAGATGCTTGGTTCCTTCCAACTCTGTTAATCTCTTTGTGGATCAACAAGGTTTATTTATTTATTTTGTTTGTTTGTCAAATATGTACAAGATAACAAGCATAGGTATGAACATGAACTAGAACCAAGGGACTAAATACAGATAAATGGGAAGAGTAAGACAGGGACGGTAGGCACGCTGATGCGCTTATGCCCGCCCCCTTTAAGGACCTCTTAGGAATGGGGTAGTGTTCATGGTAGACAGTTTGAAGTTGAAGCTATGAGGGTTTGAGGCTGTAACAACCGAGTCAGGTAGTGTGTTCCAGGCATTGACCACTCTGTGACTGAAGTCGTATTTTCTGTCATCGAGTTTGGAGCGGTTTACCTTGAGTTTGTATCGATCGTTTGCCTGGGCATTATTGTGGTTGAAACTGAAGAAGTCATCGACAAGCAAGACTTCGTAGCAGATGATTTTGTGTACTATGTTTAGATCGGATCGCAGGCGGTGCAGTTCCAGATTGTCCAGGCCCAAAATATTG